CAGAACAAAACAAATAAAGTGGAATGCAATATATCCGGCTTAAAAAGACCCGGTGCAAATGTAAGTTGGTTTAGCCAAACTGCGGTGAAGAAACATCATGAACGCAAAATCCGTCTCAGCATGGGGCAGTCTCCTCAGTATACAAGAAAGGATACACACTGGCAAATAGCCGTGTACTTGTACGGGTGGTACGTAGAAGTTACTGCTAGAACTGAACTCAGGTTCCTCACTAGGCCCAGACGGACTGCACCCCCAATTTCTTAAGCTGGTAGCAGAATTCATGGTCGTCCCACTTTGTCAAGTTGTTCAGCTCTCTTAAAGCTGGTCAACTACCTGTGAACTGGAAGACGGGTGTAGTTATGCCGAAATGCAAGGGTGGAAACCTCCAGGACTCTGCGAACTATAGGGCAGTTTGCTTGACGTCGGTCGCCTGCAAGATCATGGAAGAGCGCATTTAACGTGTCATCCACCGACACTGCGAAAATCTGAGCATCACTTTGTCTACTCAGCATGAATTCCGAAATGGACGTTCCTGCAACATTAACCTGCTGATCGCTAGAGAGAAGTGGGCTAAGTCAATGGACGCTGGAAAACGATTAAATGTGTTCTTCACCGCCTTCAGCAAAGCTTTTGACAGAGACCCTCATCAGAAACTACTCTTTAAGCTCTGCGGCATCGGCATAACAAGGAACCTCCTACTACGGATCAGTGACTTCTTGCAAGGCCGGAACATGCAAGTCAAGGTAAAAGATACCCTTTCATTTCCAGTGCCTATGTCCAGTAGTGCACCACATGGCTCCGTCCTCGGACCGGAATTGTTCAAGATATATATCAATGACCTACCAAGTATGCTACAAACGGACTGTCTGATCTATGCAGACGACCTTAAGCTATGGTCGGAAGTGTCCAGCATCGAAGCCGCCGACCGAATACAGGAAACGCTTGATCTACTACACTCTTGGTTGACCAACAAGTAGGCGTTGCCGGCCAACGAATTTAAGTGCTCTGTCCTTTCCATCGGTGTTGCTGATCCACTGGGCATTTATCACATTGGCGGGTAACTACACAAGATTGCCACACAGGAATAGGACCTGGGGACAATAGTATCCTCTGACTTCAAAATTACTCGTAACATAATAAAGACTGCTGCGGCGAGCAGGATGTGAAGAATCATAAAATCATTCCTTAAAATGACGCCGCAGATATTTACGCTTCTCTTCACCTCCCACATCCGTCCAATGCTTGAAATCGGACTTCCGGCCACAGCCCTCCTATCGAAGTATTGTACATTGGAACACTGTATTAAATGGGAATAAACGCTCGAGCTTTACATGACCCATAGGGTAAAAAGAGTTTGGATCGGGTCTGATGAAAGGCCAAGCAACATTATAGCGAGTTGGACCCGCGTGTTAGCCTTAACTACATCGGGCTTATGCCGGCTCAAAACGTGACATTCCTCCACGCCCTCCGCAACGGCTATGGAAGGGAATTAGGTAGAAGAGAAAAAAGGAGAGAAACTTCATCAAGTAAAAGGCAGTTATCTCAAGGGATATCGCTGTGTAGCTCGGCCAGAAGACAGTTCAGGTGGGTCCTAAAATCCGCTACAATGGGTGCCAAGACTAAATCGGCAGGCAGAGCATTCTACGGTCGGCAGTTTCACAGAGCGAAGTGTTCTCGTCTGCTGTTCCGCGACTGTGCTGATGTGTGAGCCTCAATAAGTAGCCACATAGGTGCGAGAAAGGTTGGTTCAGTGTGAGTAGGTGGCCACAGGGATGTCCAGGGTTGGATAAGATCATAAAAATGGACCAGATCGACACCGGTACTTAAACGAGTAGAGGCCCAGGCAGTGACGTCGTTGTGGATTATATAAATATATATATATATATAACCGATAAAACATACATTCCCATCAAAGATGGAAGTTCGAAACTTGCAGAAAATAAATTATCCAATTTCCACTAAATTCATCAACGGATGGTGTTGGGCTGACACAAAAAATTGCGTGAGTATATCGAATGGGAAATCACTGTCCAAATGCAAACCTTGATAAATATGTTGTATAGCTTCATGACCTGAAGCGAACCAGTGAGTAATGCATCGATCGCAAAATATGGACACTGCTCAATCCAAGATGATGAACGTCGGTCGCAAATGGGTATTGGAGAACCCACTGGGTGTCTGGAGGGATAGCGAACCCTAATTTCAGGGAAGCTAATACCTGCTTCAGTTACGGTCTCAATGATCGAATGGACCAAGGTTTCCTGCAATACGAATCGCAGTGCATGTTCAAATTTAGCGTCGGAATCGATTCACATAACGAATAGTTCGAAATGACCCCTCCAACCCCCATAAAGGGCAGAGATTTTTCCTCATATCGTACCGCACCCAAAGTCGAGACATCATAATCATTATACACGTTGGCTAGAGATGCAAAACCCCACCTATTGTGCCGCAATACGTACAAGAAAATAAATGCAACAGTTGTATGCCAGCTGAGCTCCCAGCAACGGATGGGCACCGTTCCGGAAAGCTACCAGCTAGCAACTAGGCATCAAAAAAGATTACGTAAAATTATGTTACGAAATGTGATCGTGGTTGTAAGGGGAGGGCCAAAGGAACTCACAGCACGAACGCCACTGAGGTCCGCTTCTAGCCATTTCAGCAAATGTATCAAGCCAAACACGTTCATCGTCTTTTGCACCCCAACCAGGGAGCCGTGGCCATCTAACCGAGATCATTTTCGAAGTGAGGGCCTTCATTCCTCTATACCAAGTCACGATTTGGCCATCTCTTCTTCTTCTATCTCAACCACCGGCGCGCAAACAACCCACGTCGTTGGAGCCGGTGAGCTGGCACGCGTAGCACATGGCCGAGACATGGGAGCCTGATGCAAGAAATGATGGTGCTGAGCGGTTCAATTTCTTTTCACTTGCGGTAAAAATTCGTCGAAGGCGCTCGTCGCTCACGCAGTGTTCCCAGCAGATGTGAGCCAAACTATCAATGTTGCTCGCTTTCGCAACCGGTTATGCTTTAGAATTAGGCAGAACTTCGAATCGCATACGACGGGATGAAGTTTTCAGGTACGAATTAACCAATGGGCCCACCAGCTGGGCGGTGCTCTAGTCGGCCATCAAAAGCAACAAAGAAAATAAAATATCCACACATCCCCGGTGGTCCCGATAGCGCGACTTTTATGGTTGATGTGAAAACCTGTTAGTGTCCAGATACAAAAAACGCAAGGGAAGAACGGAAGATGAGCGGGCGACATTATTCATGGGAATGCGCATCACACATTCAGGGGAATTTTAACTGCTACCGCCCAGTGTGAAGTGAGGCTGTTCGTCAGAGCTGTCAGAGACAGCTTCATTGTGAACTGGACATAGCGGAGCACAATGTCTCTCTATGTATAGCAGAAAAAAGGATGTTGAAGCCATCCACTAAAGAGGAGTAACCTTGTAACTGTAGGCTGTTTGTCCCAAGTACCAGTGCCATGTCGGTCCAGAGTATCGTCGTCGTGATGTGGTCAAAACCTTTCAAGCATCACAGTAGTTTGCCGCCACCTGATCTAGTGTCGTGTATATGTTATTCCGTTTTTAGACAACTTAGCACCATCTCGCATTCCATAAATCAACGAAAAACGGTATAAACATTTGACGCGATTCAGACAAGTGACTATGTCAGCGCTTTGCGATGATTGTGTTGCGTATCTAGTACACAAAGCCACAAGTCACCTCCTCGTTAGTAATTCCGGTAAATGGGCATTAGAATGCTACGATTAACATTTGATGAAAGCTTCAGTGTCGACAGACAAAAGTGAATTTCAACAACTTGAAAATCCGCATTTAACTATCAAGAACATAGTGCCAGACCTATACAATCACAAAAGGAAAATAGCAGTTGGAGTACAATGGAGCGGATTAATTTAACCGATTCAATTCCAGTGCCCGCCAGGTTCGTGAACTGACTGGCAATCCTAGCTAGGACGATTTCGTTTTCCATCCAGCACAACTGGCTTTAGCGTCTTCTACTTTCGCTAGCCAAGGCATCTGCAGTCTGGATTAGTTTCTTTTGAAAACATTGAGGTTGAAGCATTAAGGCTAAAGCAACCGAATACTGATTGCCTCGGCTGTTTCAAGCATACGGAAGCGTAAGCAGCTCGATGGCGACGAAAGGATCCTGTAGATCACCCGAAAGGTACGGTTCACTTCTATTTGATTCTCAGTGTCGACAAAGTGAGCCAAAATGAAGCATTTCATATCCACGGTGCCACCTTGACGTAACTAACATGGGTAATGCTTATTAGTGCGCTTTGAGAAATGCAGAGCCCTTCGACCGACATAAGTTGCGCCACAGGCGCACTCGAATTGATAGATGACCATTGAAGCAGTCAGCATGTTCATGTTTTGTGCAAGAAGGAGCGATTCCGTGAAGAAGGTGCACTGCAGGGTCGTCGCTGGGAAAGTAGATTTTACTAAAGATGGCAGGCTCCTAAATGAATTTGCAAGCAGGCATCATCAGTAAGCCGATGGTGTGCCGCACCGACGCTTGGTTGCCAAACGAATACCATCACCAAGCACCTAAGCAAATTCGAACTGGTTACTTTGGGTCACAAGGCGGACGCTTCAAACCAAATGGAGCCTAATGATGACCCAGTAAAACGGTAAGTACTCGCTGCACAAGGGGCATAGTAACAAAATTTGTGCGGCAAACTATCTGCTAAGAAACAAGCCATCTTGATGGAAGATAAAGTCAAAAAGTGTATTTGAAGGACGGATTGAGAGTATAAAAAGATTTAAAGCAGAAACAAATCAGAGCATGAATAACAAGTGGAATAATCCTGGTTAAATTTCAAAAGTAGGCGATCGGATCAGCATGAGCCATGTCGGTCTGGACTGCATGCAACTCCAGGTGACTTCCGTGGCACTGCAGTTTTTCGTGTATACGCGCGTGTACGTACTTGTCGTGATCCACTTTGATCTACGAGAGAAATGAATTACGCGTTAAAAAATCAGTAACACCTTAGCGAAATAGTTAGTCCCTGCCACCACTTGCGTGGAGAGTTGAACAACTTCAGCGAACGAGGGCTTGGTGCACAAATGAGATTCCAACTTTTCCAGGAGCTATTATTGAAGCCAAGATGAGAATTGGTGAAGGGACAAAACATACCAACGGTTCCAGTTTTGCTCGTTCTTCGTCTGTTGGAGTCCTTGCGTTGGTCAGACCACCATATTTCATCATTTTAGCAGATGTGCTATAAAAAGTGAGCAATGCGATAATGAGTTTTAGCATAAGTTGAAGTGTAATTTGACGCCGAGCGAAAATTTATGAAACAAAATTGTGACGAGCTAACTGAAGCGAGGGATTTCATATCGGTGTAAAATCGAAGCAACAATAAAGAAGTTGTCAGGAGAAAGCGCTTAATTTATGTAAAAATCAGCGTAAATGAAATGAGCATGTAGCATCCTTCGCACCACTTCACGTCGAATGAAGCAAACGAAAACAGCTACATATATGCACGCAATTTCACATGTGAACATCAGTCCATAATAAAAGAAAGCGTGCCATGGAAGTAAAATGAAGAATACTGGCTATACTAAATACTGTATTATAGAACAAGAAGAAGTGAATTCTGTACAACTCTTTCGAAATATGGTGAAAAACATTATAAAAGTTGCCAACCGTTAATATCGTTGTCATTCACATGTAACGTTAAAAATAACGGACTCAAGGTCTTGGTTAATTCACAAATGTGAAGTGTCACCGTCAGTGTGCAATCGTTCTCCGAATAGAATAGTAGCAAAATACAAACCTAATAACGTTTTGAACTGCTGCATAAATGTTGCCTCAAACACATGTTCAGGTAAACTGTTGCAAATGTTTACCACTCTCCGTTCGAAGCACAGTGGGTGAGGAACACATTTCACATCTGGCACGACAAGTTTTTATCTGTGACCGCGTGTGCTACATGGCCCTCGCATGATGTAGAAATGGATTCTGTACAACTCTTTTGAAATATTGTGAAAAACATTATAAACGTTTTCAACCGTGAATATCATTGTCCTTCTCATGCAATATTTAAAATATTCGACTTACGATATTGCAGGATTCACAAATGTGGTATGTCATCGTAAGTGTGCAGTCGTTCTCTGAATCGAATAGTGGCAAACTATAAATCTAACAACGTTTTGAACTGTTGCACAGATGATGCCTCAATCACATGTTCAGGCAAACGGTTCCAAAGGTTTACCATTCCGTTTGCAGCACAGTGTGTGGGGAACGCATTTCACATCTGGCACGACAAGTTTGTATCTGTGTCCGCGTGTGCTGCATGGCCCTCGTAAGTGAAGTATTAACCTTAACATTGGGAAGTCACCGAGATGTAGAATAGCGCAGGTCATAATGAGGTCGACTCGCAACCGACGGTAGAACAAGGTGTAGAGTCCTAGTTTCTCGCACCGGCCTTCATAACCAAAGCCACGTAAACTCGGGATAAGCCTGGTAGTAACGTGTTGGAGCCGTTTGATCTTTTGTGCCTTGCCTCGGGTAATCGGAAAGTAGGCGGGCGAACCGTACTCCAGCATTGATTTATTGATAAAAGAGAAGAGACGAGTGGCAACCTCTTCAGACCATGTGCCGAAGCTACGTTTGAGCGACCAAAGCATGCAAAGTCCGCTACGATATAGCCTGTTAGTGTTGTCCACGGACTTCAAATCCTAGCGCCAGAGTACACCTAGGTCTTTCACGGAGGGTGTGGGATATAGCTGTTGGCGGTCAGCACCCTTCCCCAGGCTCATAAATACAGACTTGGCTGGGTTGATCGGGAGAAAAACTTATGCAGACCAGGTGAATAGGCGGATGAGGTCTTGCTGAAGCAGGTCACAGTCATCAGGAGCTTCAATAGCTCTCCAAATCTTCATGTCGTCCGCTAACAAGGCACACGGCGACCGGAGAAGCTGCGGTAGATCGCTGATGTGGATCAGGAACGGAGTGGGCCCCAGCACATTGCCTTGAGGCACGCCTCTTGTAGAGGGTTACCAGTCAGTCAGATGGTCGTCCACCTGTACTCTCCACTTTCGTCCAACAAGAAAGTCGCGGATTCACCGGTGCAGTGAGCCACCGACACCATAAATTCTGAGTTTGTGAAGGAGAACCGCATGGCTGACCTTGTCAAACGCGTTACTGAAATTGATGAATATCACGTCGACGGACTTCCCCATGCTTATTGCCTTTAACCACTCCTGCCTCGTCACATGCAGGTTCGTAATGTATGAGCGACCTTGAATAAACCGTGCTGTGCGGGCGTCAGGACCTCGTTTGACTGTAGCAACTGCAGCAATCCCTTCTTCTCTATTTTCTCAGCAACCTTTGCCAATGAAGAACACATTTGCGAATATTATCATTAATGCATTGGGAATCGAGTCCAAGTAAATCTGTGCACATTCATCATGAACTTCGTTACACGTTAGATGAAGTTTAGAAACCCATCAATTGTGTGAAACAAATATGATCCGGGTACCGAGGTGCAGTTGAATTCAGTTTCCAGAACTCACATCACCAGAATAAACACGGCAGGAAAATGAGTCTGAATGTAAATAGAAGTTAGAGAAAAGAAAAGTAAGGACGTGCAGCAGACTAAGCGGAATGGAATAAAAATAACAGCTAGGTGCAAGGAAAATAGTGCAAGAATGTCAGTGACTACACGAAGTCTAAAATAGTCTTAACCGTTGCAATGGGCCATGCCACGGTTCCCACCCAGGAGGACAGCATGCAACACTCTCCCAGTACATTTCTTCATAAATCTAAGCCACTTCACCGATTGTCCACCTTACAGTTTCGCCTACCTTGGTGCAGTGACTGCGTATAGTGCACACTATGGTAGGCAGTCAACGCGCATGCAGAGAACATGAGTTAACAAACGTAAGCGACTAAGCTTAAAGTAAGCTTCCTACCAAAGCCAACTGGTGGGCCTCAGTATTGCTTAACCGGTGTTCCCTCCAGACATGAGCAACAATCCGCAGGCACCGGTGAACAGATATGTCCAACCGTTTAACATCTTCTCTTTGAGCTGTCTAAATTTCTGATCCATACAGCAGCCTCAAACTTACACCCCATCATTCCTTGACAGACTGCAATCCCGTAGTCCCCATTCATGTTTTAGCCTCCGGAAAGCCACACAGGTTTTGCTGGTATGCGAAGTAACCTCTTCAGGGGCGCGGCCACCAGAAATGGCAGTTACCAAAGCACGTGAAACAATGCATCACTTCCAGCGGCTGTTCGTTAAGTCGAGTCCTGCAACAGTACTTCGCACTTGGAAGGTGCAAAACATGCTGAAGCGTACAGTGTCACGTGCCAGTTAATCCACCATCCACTGTTTGTAAACTCCCCTAAGAATCTGACATGGCGACCTGCGAGACACTGCGGTTGGTGTTGGAGACGTTTGGTTGTCTGAAGAAGTTAGTAGATTTGACTTGAATGCTCGCACAGTGGTATGAGGACCGGTGTTCAGCTGCTTGGGAAAGCCAATAACCACACGCTAAATGCAAACAGAAGGAATCACAAACTAAGGTAGATTTTAGGTGTTGGGAATCAAAGGCAATAGATCGGCGCCAATGGCGCAGGCACACAAAGAATGCGGTGGTCCAGGTGCACAATATGGAGAAACGCCAGCCACCAAAGCGACAGGCTCCCACGCAGCCTAGCCCATCGACGTCAAGCACATGTGCCCGTGTGTGCCTCAGCCAAGCAAATCTAGTAAATCATCAACGTAGCCATGTTTGACCAACATGGAAAAGTTGACAAATCAGCTGATGAGGTAAAGAAGATCGGCGCAGTGCCTGGCAAGTTGGCTGCTTTCGATTCCATTTACTAACCCAAATTATGCGTGCTGCATTGTCGTTGCAGTTGGTCTATACGTATAGCTGCGCGTTTATATCCTCGCAATTTAGGTGTCTGTTGATTGATATTCCCGCACTGGATGCACTTGATGTAAACGTTGACAAAGCGCTAACCTGTCAAAAAGGCGCTAATGGCTCCAGGAGAGGTGTTCTTGCTGAGGGGCGGGGTGCACAGTTGTCGCGACGGTGCTAGACCCAAAGAGTGGTCGTATTCAGCGTGCAACGGCCTATAGACCAGTCACTGCCTTGTGTACGTCAGGTACGCGTAGGTTCGAATTGATTAAAGGAATGATTTGCATGCTGAAGAAGTACAGGCCGGTTCTGAAACAATCGTGGCTCCCACCTACATGCTTCCCAGATTTATTCCTCTGGGCTGACACCAGATCATTTTTCCGGTTGAAGGTTCAGATTAATGATGACCCGGCGCCAAAGTCATCGCTACGGTCTGTGGAGGCGTGGGTAACCAAAATAAATATGCACATTTTAGGTTTGGGCGACTTCGAGGATTTAAACAACCCAATCAGTCGGACGGCGCATGTCCGGCTATTGATTGGGATCCAATCCAGTTTCTGCCCGCAAGTTCAGAGCGATACCCACAACGACCTTACCGGTATTCTAGGCTGTACCATATGCGGATAGACACATTGAGAGGGAAAAACGCATCAGTAGTAGGCTGGCACATCACAGCTGAGCGACACTCTGTATCTCTGAAATCCTAACCAAGGAGTCGAAAACAACTGACTGACATGCCGCTTCTCCAATTCGTGTTGTCCACCGCGCCGCCTCATTCAGCCCTGCCCAGCAACCGCAACCAACGTCCGACGCGGAAGACGACGGACGGGCATACGCAATGTGTCCAAGCCGCTGCAGCTGTAGCAGGGGGTTGCTTCCACTAAAGGCGCACTGCCTACCCTCCATAATGGTTACGTGGTGCAGCCACAACATACGGGTAATGGACAGCAAGCAATGGTGTCCGAAGACAGATAGCCTGCGCAGGTCAACGGTACGAACATGCTAAGTCTTGAAACCGTAAATCAGTACAGCGCAGATAGTGGTACTATAAACCCGTTCTTTGATGAGTAGACGGATGTCGTGGCGGCGCCAATAGTGCCTCGACCTAGAGAAAGCTAAACGAGCTCATGAGATAAACAACGAAATCTCGTCCCCAACAACAGCGATACAGCTACCCAGGTAGACAAAACTATCCATAACCCCAGTATCTAACCAGCAAAAGTAAGCGCAAGTAAAGGCGTCTGAAAGTCTTGAAACAAACTTGACGCTTGAATAGGGAACAGTGTATCCTCTAGTTCAACGCTTCAATCGCCAAGTAGCTAGGTAAAAGTTGGCAAGCGCGCGGAGCGTCACTAAATAATACGCTAATATCAGCTTAGCCCA